TTCAACTGATCTACACTTAGTTCCATAAACATATACCCTTAAGCCTATTAACTAAATTGAATCACTGAAATTGTAGGCTTCTTATAAATGATAACACCACATTTAATTATGTGATCCATTGAGACATTATCTAAACATCTCCCACTGGACCACATATGTATCCTGAAAAATGTGCTTAACTTTAGTGAGCTCAGAATTTGTTATTATAACTTGAGGGTATCCAAACAATCTTGTCCATTAACTATATTAATATAGGATCGAAGCGGTCTTCGTTACATCAATCGTAACTCGACCCACCAATGGTCACGTATACTAATACAGCTAAATGACATAGATCAATCATGGATGCGTAGCATGGAAATTACATGTGATGTGATCCATACATGCCTATTTCCAACTGGTCCTACTTAACTTTATTGAGATCAATACTTCACAATACATAGCAGAGCGTAATAAACTGAATATTTCATTTCTGCACAAATTAATCTAATTACATAGATAAAACTCAAGGCTGACATAAAGCAGTAATATAAATACAAACTCCCACTAAACCAGAATGTTCTCAATAGAACAACACCCATCTGAGCAGTGTGCTCATGAAAGACCTTGGTGGGTAGTCCCTTCGTAAGTGAATCCGCTATCATGGAGTTTGTCCCAATGTGCTCTATGGAAATCTGTCCACTCTGCACTCTTTCTTTTACAACTAGGAACTTTCCATGGCTTGACGAAAGTTGATTGGATCATCTTTCGACATTCCATTTTCTACCTCATGTTCTTGGAGATATACAATATAATCATCTGAAAATGCAAATCTCCTTTCTCTGGTGGAATCGCCTTAATGGCACAGATTCTTGAGGTTGAGGTTGTAGAGTTTGTTCCTCAGGAACAATTACCTCATCTTGAATGGGGGTTTGAACTATATTATCTTGAACAACTTGTCTGGTTGAGGATCGAAATTACTTCTCAAAGCAATGACAGGTATAGAACCTGTGATTGGTCAAAAGTAGTAGTAGGAAGTGGGATTACTCCTGCTTCCTCCTCAAAGACAATGTCTCTAACTGGATTTCTCCCCCCAAACTCAACATCCTCAAACAATGTTCCAATTCCGTCTATTAGTTGTATAATTTCTATTTCTATGAGGGGCAGAAATAGAAATTAAAACATATTGGTTAAAGTTGGTTTTCATTTCCAATAGAAATTAAAACCAATAATGGTTAAAGTTGGTTTTCATTCCTTTTGAACTTCCATTACCTTTCAGTTTTGAAAACCAATTACAACCTTTAAAAGGTTATGGTCCCTATTCCTTCCCAGGTGGAAATAAGAACACTGATTTAATGCATTAAGAATCCTCTCAAGGAGAAACATAAGGCACCAAAGGGGAAAGGATTAGAAGGCAATAACATAATCAACAACAAAGAGTTCATTGATAATCACGTTTCCGTTTAAGCGTTCATCAATGGATTCAGGTATGTCATTTTGTCTTGATTTCTTGATAATACACATGGTAAATGATCCAAAGTGTAAGGTTTATGTTCTGAAATTTATGTTGACAATTCTGCATATCAGAATGGATCCTTTTCGGACCTACCCTGACCACTAGCCGTTACTGCTCTTTACTTCTGTTTACGATATTTTAGTTTGTTGACATTTGGCTGACCTTTTCTATGTTTTTTTTTCAGTGATTTTTCAAAATTATGTTAATAATTTATTATTATTATTTTTTATCTTTTAGATTTAACTGGGCTAGATTATCCTGAAAATAAAAAATTTAAACTGAAGTCAAAAAAATGATTTCAAAGGTATTTTTGGATAAATTTTGAATTTTTTCTTTTTTAGTGGATTTTTATTAAAATTTTCATTTTGTTTAATTTTGGGCAATTCTAGTCTAGACGGACCTAAGAAGTGAAAAATCGGCTCAAATGTAGAAGTTCACAAAAGAAAAAAACAAACCAACTTAAAATTGGTGGACAAGCCCAAAATCCTATGTCTGTAAATCTCCCTATCTTTCTCTCCCAATTTGTTCTTAACCATTGAATCATTGAAAATTTTGAGATGTAATAATATGAATTCATGATTTAATGCTGAGTGTTTTAACAAAGAGGGATGGAGAGATTTGAGGATAGAAGATCTCATGCCTTCCAGCAGCCATGTACTCTTCTAGTTTTATTTTATTCTTTTAGAAGTGCAATAAATAGTGTTAGGAATTAGGAATGGAAAATGCTAGAGGTCCCAAATTTTCTACCAAATAAATGACCAAATGTCTCACATGGGTGTGGGGCCCACAAAATTGCGGACCCCACACCCATAGTGTCCCTAGCATTACCCATTAGGAATTGGAATAGACCATCAAGCACATCTTCTTTAATAAATACTCTTACGTACCTAGCACACACATGCAATGAGCTATTAAGGGTTTCATTAAATGTAATTCACTAGTTTAATTAGTTGAATTCCAACCATAATAAGCAGACATCCTCAGATAATCTGAGTAGGTCTATACAAACAGAAGACTTGTCCAAAAGAAAATCAATACGTGACACTATAACATATAACATATAAGAGTTTTAAAAATCAAATTTTTTAGTCTTTAAAAGTAAAAATTTTAAGATATGTAGAGATTAATTTCTATTGTCGTGAAAATAGGTCATTCCGAAAAATTAAAACAAGGTTTTTAGTGACAAAATTTTGAAAATGTCACTAATAAATAACAAAATAATTTGGTCTAAGTTTACTTTTTAAGACAAAAAAATTTAGTTCTAAAAAAATAATAATTCATCACTAATGTCTAATTTTTATTACTAAAAATATATTAACAACATTTCTACTAATAAAAATATTTGATCGCTAAAAAATAATTTTGTCAAATTTTAGTTTCTAAAACCTTAATTTTTTTTTTTTTTTTGTAGTGTGATGAAGTGACAAATTTAAATTTTATCACTTAAAAGAAAGAAGGCCCATCAATTATTTTTTTTAAAAAAATTATCACTGTCACAATGATATCACTAAGAAAGAACTAGTAGTGTATACCTGATCACAAGAGAAAATAGCCCAAGCCAAGGACTTGTTGAAGAGCACAGTCCCTTTAACCATACTCACCACACACCTCAACCCTTGGACCAATGAGTAGGCTGCAACTAACCCATTGGCCACTACCAAAAAGCTGCAACGAAGACGTTTGCATCAAAATTTACTAAAAAACAAAGTTATGATCCTATAGGGTTAATAACTTCTTCTTCTTCTTCTTCTTCTTCTTTTTTTTTTTTGTGTGTATAATTTGTCTTTTATTCAGCTTCAGATTAAAGTTTAATATAATTAACTTAAATGAGTTAAAAGAAACTTGACTATTGAAAAATACAAAAGAAGTGTCTTTAATTTTTATTTTCTGATTATCAATTTTCATCTTTCAAGAATCTCTACCAAACAAGTTTATATGGTGTACGATTTTAAAGAACGGTATTGTATGTGTATCTTGTCAGTTATATAGTCATGTATGAGCCCATATCAAACTGATATATTAGTAAGGTCAGTGTTGAAAGTTCAAAATTCTAACATATATACAACTGATATTTAAAACCTGATATAATGTATAGAAAAACCTTTGATCAGAGAGAGAGAGAGAGAGAGAGAGAGAGAGAGAGACTTACACAAGAGCTTTCATGTCAGTGAACTTGGCTTTCTTTTGAATTGAGAAGGTCTCTTTGACCTGAGTATCAGACCCAACAAGAACAGCAGCAAGAACACCTAGACCACAGATCACACACCTCAAAACCAGCTCTGCAATCCTCACCCTCCGATCAACTACCTTTAGATTGCTCTCATGATACACTGGAATATTCCCAGGACCCACACCAACACCAAGATAGCTCAACTTCACCAATACTCAAAAAACACTCAAAAACCCAACTAGTGCTTGGAAGAAAAATAAGGGGCTACCCTCACAGTCACACAGCACCACAACAAAACACATAGATCCAACTACCAAGTCCCACCACTTTATATAGACCCCTCCACAACCCAATTTTTGGTAAGGAAATGAGTGAGACGTCTAAAATTAGAGCTCTAAAGGGATATTAATTTGTTTTTTTTTTTTTCATAAAAAAAAAAAAATTATCTTTTTTTCTCTTCTGTTTTATCTTTTACCTTCTATTTATTTTTTTATTTTTTTATTTTCTTTAATTTAAAAGGTGATAGCTCATTAAGCAGTTCTAATTAGAGCTCTCTAGCAGATCCTTTTTGATAATTTTTACTTCAACTATGATACAGATCACTAAACAAAGATCACTAAAAATAGCACTAGTAAGGTGGCATGTCTAAAAAAATATTAAAATAAAAAAAAGAGGAAAAAGAAAAAATGTAAAGAAAAAAAAGACAATTTAATACTCCTTTAATGCTCTTCTTTTAGTGTTCTAAATCATTTTACATTTTACTTCTCGCTTTTCTTGATGTCCAAAAGTTTTTTTTTTTTTGAGCTGATTGATGTCCAAAAGTTTGGTGGTGGAGCTTTGCTGCAACCCTGTGGGACTGCCAGGTGGCATAACTTGTGGTCCTGGTAACCCATGATTTACTTACCACAACAGTTATGTGTAATATCAGAATTATGATACATGATTTAAAAAATGAACGACAATTACAGAGGCCACTAATTTTAGAATTTTAAAAAAATTATTAATGACATGATACTTAATAAAAAAAAAAAATACAACATTAAGAAAGAAAGAAAAAAAAAAACAGTTTCCAAAATTAGAAATTAGGGGCATTAGGGGCAAATTTTTTAGGGCCACCAATCATTTTTGTTTAAAAGAACGACAATTACAGAGGCCACTAATTTTAGAATTTTAAAAAAATTATTAATGACATGATACTTAATAAAAAAAAAAAATACAACATTAAGGTTAAAATATCAAATCATTTATGGTGGGGCCTACTGCTACATCATTAATGGTAGCACCAATTAGTGTTCCCACTCATTTTCCTTAAAAGAAATGTTTCAGATTACAATTTAAATTTCTTAAATTTATTCACAATAATAATAATGTGATAAAAGAGTTGGGCTCTATATGACAAGTGTAAAAATTAAAAATTAACTGTCACGCCCCGAATTTTAATTACACGAAAACATTACCAAAGTCTGTAAATTTAGGTCCACACATATATATATATATATATATATTTTTCTACATATACAAATATCTATTACACTTGAGTAACAGAAATACGATAATACATGTTTTCTCTCTCAATAAATACAACAACAATAATACATGCCAATGCTTTTGCCGTGAAGCTACAAATAAAAGAATACAAATACAAATCCACTTTTTTTACAACTACCATGAAGTTATACAAATGCCTCAAGAACTCCGTACATCTTCAATCAAATAATCCAAACATTCTTCCTGTAAAAAGATAAAACAACAACAGGGTGAGCACTAATGCCCAGTAGGAATCTCACAGTTCTAAATCAATAACTAACACACAGATAAAAATGATCATGCATGCTGGGTGATACCATATAGTAGGGTGACATTTCATAATCTTAAAATATCATAAGTAAGGTATCTTTTTCTCAAAAATAATTTAAACACTTGTAAGAAAAACCTTCAGCCATTAAAAATCATCCCTTAACTTTAGAAAAAAATCATAGATCATTGTGAAACAACCGTATTTAAGAAACAACATCATTTAAAGGTTAATAACCCATTTCTCAAAATATTTCTCATTTAACTTCCATTTTTAATGTTCCTCTTTTCCTTTCATTCTACTCTTTTACTCTTCATTTTTAACTTAAAATCCCATAACTTCAAGTTCAAGTTCCTTTTTGATTTGCCAACAATTCTCCTATACTCAATTCACCCCGTTAATTACACCCGCAAAGTTTCATTTCAAGATAACACAATGTTAATAAACCCTTCCAAGCCAATCCTTTATTTAATTAAGGAACAACTCTCACAATTTACTTTTATTAACACAACTACTGTGCTAAGTTTATCATCATAATCTAGAATCCTCATATCTATTTTTTTGGTTCCCATTATTTACAAATAATGTCCATGCCCATTTCCTTTTTAAACCAAATTATACATCAATATGAAATTTCACAAATTCATCACAAGCAACAAAAAAAAAAAATCATCAACTCAACTTACCTCTCAACACATAGCTCAACACAACCCACCTTTTGTCGGCTTACTACGGCGGGATGTGAACTCCCAAAAACCATTTTCGAAAACCAACCATTCTTTTAAAATAAATTTCCAAGTTCTGTAGAGTATTCTCACAAAGTATGTACATAGTTATGCTTTTTCCTCAACACAAAAGTAAATGTAAATGCAATGCTATGCCAAGATAAATCAATGAGGAAAAACATCCGTTCCAATGCATTATTTCAAAATCATCATGTTCTCAATGTCATCATATGATCTCATCAATTTCAAACTTCCATCATTACTTTAAAAGGGGCCGTAAATACGACACTGGTAATCCCTAGGCTGGTGTCTGCAAGTAGGCTCAACCAGCACTACCAAACTGTCATTTTTACCGGTGCTAACTGGAAGGCTCGACACCTATCCGCACGGCTTTCGGGTCTTTCACCCTGGATACTCATGGCCAACTTATTAAATCAACTACACCCCCTATCCGGACTTACTACGTATTTACCCCATTCACATTTCCATATTTCTTATCCAAATCATTTTCTATCATGAATGCAAATCTCTTGAATTTAAAACCACAATGCACAATGATAAATGATAAATGATATGATATGCAAATGCAAAAATCTCCATGATTCATAACATTCCTTCTCAAATCAACCGTATACCATCAACTTTCTCATTTCACAAGTCAAAGCAACATGGTCCCACCAAGGACTGCACATGAAGTTTTCAAAACCATTTCTCCAACTCAATAAATTTAAAAGATTACCAATCTTGCAAAACACATTATGGAATTTACACCCATACATATTCTATTCAAAGAAAGAAATGAGTTTTATGAACATTTCCATGTTCCCCAAAAATCTCTAAATTTCTAGTGTTTTCACCAAAAACCAAAATTTCTATCCCCATAAAGAAACCCCATTAAATCATCCACTTGAGTTTCAAAATAATTAAGCAAACCCACTAGGAATTTAATAAAATAATTTGAGATTAAACCCATTTTGGAAAATCTACATTTTAGATCACAAAAACCAAAATCAACATGATTCAACTCCACACCATTAAATATAATTCAACATATTTCAAGAGAAATTCTTAAATCCCATTTCAATATTTCATGATCGAGTTTATGTCATTTATATCATTAATAAATCTTTTTCCCCAATTTCCTTTTCATTAAAACATGATTTACAATGCTTTTAACAAAGTTCATTCGCAAATTTTAAACATAATTTTCAAGTAGAACCAAATTCCAATTAAACTTGTACATATATAATTCAACCTACCAATTTCATGATTCAACTTTCAATTTGGGCCAAATCATTGACTATCATCATAAATCAACCTAGGGTTTCAAGAAAAATCTAGAAATTTCAAGAAAAATCCAAATTTCTTAACCCATTACTTTTTGTTCCAATCTTTCCATTTATTATACGCCCTAGGTCCATAATCCATAAACCATAATCTAAACCCCATAATAGAACCCCAACATTTCAAACCCTAACCCCAAAATTTCATGATTTACACTATATGCCCAAAATATAGATTTTGCATTTATATATTCCAAAATACCACAAATCTATCTATCAATGTAAGCATTGAAGGAGAACTAGGACTCCTACCTCAAGATTCAAGCAAGAAAAGCAAGCTTTGAGAAGAATCCTCCACAAATTCGAATTTCAATCGGTTGAAAAATGTTGATCCTCTCTTGTTCTCCATCCTTGATGCAAGATCCATGATGGATTTGTTGATAAAAGTGGAGGAAATCAAGGTTTTGGGAGCTAGGGTTTCGGACATGGAGGAGGGGAGAAGAAGAGAGGAAAAGAAAATATAAGAAATGATCAAAAAATCACGTTTTTGAGCTGCTGTCCCGCACAGCCCGCACGTGCGCCACTTTTTCCGCACGTGCGGTCCTGCTTCCAGCACAAATATGAAAACTTCAAACATGCGTAACTCTCTCATCCGGACTCCGTTTTAGGTCATTCTTGTGTCCAAATTGAAGCCCCGAAAAAAAGGCTTTCCAATGGTTTTAACCTCACATCCAAATTCAAAGTGTGGAAAAAGAAAAGGGCAAACGGCTGATCGTAGGCGAATTATTCGAATTAAAGTTTTTGATCCAATCTTACTTTACCATCATATTACCACCTCAATCAATACCCCAAAATAAAATAAGGAGGTTCCAAATACACTAATAAAAATGCCAAAGACGAATCCACGTGCCTCAGAAATTCAAACTAAACTAGGCGACCCACTCGAGTGTCTAACCTTCCGCTCGAGCGCTCAGACCAACAAAGCTGTCCGCTCGAGTGGAAGGAAAAATTTCTAGATCGTTACATCCTTCCCTCCTTAAGAAATTTCGTCCCCGAAATTGCATCCGCTCTAACAACATAGCAACAACCTTATACTCACCAATTCTTAACAACCCCTAGTCCAAAAATAAAGCATGAGAACATCCACTAATATCCACCAAACCTTGACAACTTTCAATTACACCTCACTTCAATTCTAAATCCAAAATACAAAGCGTTATAACCTACCCACCTTGGGGAAATTTCGTCCTCGAAATTGAAGAAAACCAAATAGAAGAGAACTCAAACATGAACGGAAACGCACCCTGTAATGTTCCAAAACTAGATCCACACTTGGGATAGCTTCTTAATTTTCTGATTTGATGCCTCAATGTTCCAAAGACACCCAACAACGAGAATCACCAGGAAAGGACCACAAATACTTTCGATCAACACACACATCACAATTCAACGGGCAAGGAGCAACACTAACCATTTATAATCCCAAGGTCCATAACAACTCGTCAATCAACGACAACGCGAACAATGACTATCGAATGATCGAAACTCAATTTCAAAGAAAAGAAATCACTCTTAAACTAACACTATGTCAACACAAGCAAAACAGATAACACATTGCATTGTATGATCCAATATCACAACTCTCTATAGCATTTCAATTAACAGCATTATCAATTCTTTATTCCATTAAACACTTAAAAGTAAAACAGTGAAAATCATTCATTGTCATATTCAGATTAAGTTCTTAACATTTAGTTCAACCATGCCTTCCCAGGCCACATACAAGGAAAATAGATTTTTTGTTTTCCCACATCAATCTCAATATTTTCCCGGTGAATCCCAAGCATCACCAAATAACTTTCGCCACCCATCCGGCGACATCACAACATAATTTCCATACACATTTGCAACAACAACAAACAAAACAAACCCACATATTCATTACAAATGTCAACACTTATATCAACATTCAACATATATATACACATTGGCACAAGTGCACTTCAATAATTTCCATTCAAACATTTTTAACTCCTTTAGAGCAATTTCACAAAGTCACATAAACAACACACGTATACATGTACAAGTAAGACTCCATGCCATCAAATACCCCTTGAGACACTAACCACTCACATCCC